AGAGCGGTTTGATGAATCAGTCCAGAGAAGGCATAGCAGATTGTCCACACTTTGCACTTAAAAACATTGCAGAAGAGGAAAAGAATACTTTCATAATGCAAAAAAAACTTTGAAAAAAATCAAGAGAGAAATCTGAATCCAGTCTGGAATAAACAAAGCAGGATCATCCTTCAGGTGTCATTTAAATGTAGACCTATAGCAAAGATAATTTCCATGCAAGCGAGAGGGTCTAGTTATTATCTTTTTAATCCAGAGTTGTTTTCCCTTTGCTTTCACTTTCCCTGTGCTTTATCCCTATTCCCAATGACTTGATTTTCCCTTCTAGTTAGAATTCTCTAGGATGTCAGTTTTCACATCCTTACTTGTACAATAAGAGATGATACAGAAGGACAGCTGGAATGTTTCTGTGCTGGCAGCATCAGTAATTTCCACACAACAACGAATGGGTTAACTGTCACTCTCCTAATTTTTATTCCCAGCCATGTGTAAATAATTCATGTCAACAGTTATGAGTTTAATAGAAAAGATGTCCCTCACATCTGTGGGCATTGATTCAAAACCCATGGTTCTGTAGGAATAAGAACCCCATCAAACAATTAGGATAATTATAGTCATCAATGAAAAGGATCTCATTGGCCTGACTTCTTGTAAAGGCCTAATTTGCTATGTTAAATCCAGACATCTGGTAATCTGGTAATTTCTTTAATTGCCTGGAAAAACACAGGTGGAGTCTGTGTTATGGGAGGTGCTACTTCTTAGATCAAAGTGATGCAACCCAGTGACAATTAAAACAAACAAACAAAAAGTGTAGCTTTTTGCAGGGCTGTTTAGGCTTTTGTTTGTTTGAAACCAAATTAATAATGACCCAGGTTGTAATGGCAAATACCAGTCTCCGGTCTCGGGAACCTCTTTCAGCAGGGGCGTAGATCATGTGCATTTCTAATCCCAGCCCATCTAATCCCAGCTAGTCTGACACCCTTGATTGATACATCTTTCCTTTGTAAGTATGCTCACAATTGCATCTTTTAGTTTTTGTCAGTCTGGTGCAATACATGAATTACACTATTCCTGATTATCTCTTGGTAACATTTTTAGACCAAAGGAAGTAGTAAATCATTAGCTATCTGTCTGCTTATTCCTGCATGACTGTGTCTGCCTATAGCTTTGCTGTTTCTTTGTGGATTTCCTCTGTGTAAAGTTTGGGGCTGAAGGTGAAAACCTGCTAAAATTTTGGAATCCTAGTTAAACTGGAAGCAGGTATGTTACTCAAAATGTAACTCATAAAAACTTACCCTAAAGGAATAAATACTGAAGATATGTCTTTGTAAAATAAATTCATGTATACTTGCGAAAGCTACTGTGCGAGAGGAGTTTGCCTGTATGCTATGGAACAGGTGCCTTGAAACAGTCTGAGCAGAAGTTCTCCTTGAAATGTTGTTTGCTCTCAATTTAATTTCTGTGTCTGAATGTATGTGTGGTGCGTGTTAGTTGCAGATGGCATTTGCAGCATCATTCACAGTTTTCACAGAATTGAACAGGCAAAACGTACAGAAAAAGCTAATATTTGGATTTTCTTCTTTCCCCTAAATTTCATGTATGTGTGGGGATTGGTGGGAAGAGCTCTCTAAGTGAATTTGCACATGTGGATGCTCTTTTAGCTACTTGAAGAAGATGAAATGTCAGATTGGAGCTGGTTCTATCTGCTTTCTGGTAAATAGCGTTTTTTCATGCAAGTTCAAAAATACTTCACTGATAAGATGTATCTCAAGCTGAGGTCGGTGGTAGTCAAGTGCTCTTTCAACTGAGGACTAGTAGACTGTATATGTGGAAGAAGTCATGAGGTTTTAATGACTATTTCGGCATAGAGTTGTCAGTGTGTTACATTTTTTTTCTGAATCAGCAAATAATAACACTGAGTACTGGGACCTGAACTCGCAGAGGCTGATAAGCAAAGGATTAAGGTTGGTCCTCACAGCACAGGGTTAAGGCAGAAGAGCATGACAGTACAGGCATTTATGCACTGGCTGTAATTACTATGAAGGTTTTTCTCACACACTCAAGCGCAGAGGTCCTCCTTCCTAGCAGAGCTTTTAAAAGTAGAGTAAAGAAAACGGAGGCCTTCACTCCTTGTTTTCCTTAGCATTAATTTCTTTGGCTTTCTTAACATGATTTCTCGCCCTCTGACACTCACTGGCTCTGTTGAATCACTTTGTTGCTCACTTTTTGCATTCTCCCATCTGTGTTCCATTTACCAGCACCTGTCTTCCCTGCATCTCTCTACCCTCTCCCAGATTTGTCTTTCAGTATTTGACTCCTCCAGGATCTTTTTCCACCCTTCTGCTCTGGTCTCCAGACACTTGCATGTCGTTTCTAGGAGCCTTTCCCTTGGGATGGGAAGATTGTGAGGGTAACCTGGATGTCAGTGGAGCAGCAGTGGCATCCAGTGGCCTTCTCAGTTAATCACAAGTTGAAATTTCTAGGGCTGAAGTATGAGGAAACTGAGGGTCTTCACTTGTCCCGTCTCATTTGTGAGTCTGAGCGAAAGCTGTTGATCAGAATCAGATATGTTGAAGACCTGGATGCCACTGTCTGCTAAGACATTATGCTGAGGCCAGGCACGTATAGTGTGTTTCACTTTGGGAGTTCCTAAGCTCTGGAAGTCACTGGCACTGTTAGATTTCACAGGAGAACTAATCTGTCACGGAACCTGTTTCCCTCTAGGTGCTGGAATAGTTTTTACAGAGATACCTTTGTGCTGTTGTTGGATGCTGTGTTTATGCTACTGGGATTAATGTTAATCCAAGCACTTACTGTACATTTGGTTATCCAAACAAAGAGTGGCTGATCAGTAAGGGTGGAAAAGCAGTCTCCTCAGAAATTCCAGGATTCTCTTGTGGTGTTTGCTCTGTGCGTGTTACAACTTTTTGTCCTCTTTTACTCCTACCCATTTAGAGTGGAAACTTTTGAGAAAAAGTTTGCCAGCTATTCTGTGGATGTATGGTAATTGCATGGTGGCCTTGTCCTTCTGAAAGTTCAGAAAGCATGATCGATGTAGTTACAGAAAAAAATGCTACTAGTTCTGCCTTCTTCCTTCCAAGGAGGCCACTGTATAAGATTTCTTTCCTTGCCTGAATACCTGGCATAATCACTTTTTTGTTGTTTGCTGCTTTATTTTTTTACTATTTTATAAACTCATGAATCAAGTGCCTGGCTTTCTTGCTGAGCAGTCTCAGAGATGATGTTTTTTTTCCTTTCTTATTATGCATTTTAGTTCAGATCTCATGGATATGCAAACATTTTCCTTCTGCCTGTGCTCTAATGAGTCATTTTTGCCATCTGATCTTTTAATAAAAATGTATCTGATTTAAAGAATACAACAACTGAACATATTCTTTTGCTCTGTGTTGGTACAGAAGTCTTAATACTGCAGAGTTTCTAGACATTACTGTGAAACATAATAATAAGCAGCACTTAAATACAATTAATCACACAGCCATTTGTAAGGAAATTTGTTTTAGAGGACATGCAGGTTAATCTCCTTTTCTTCTGCTCTGTAGAAGAGGAAGCTTTCAACAACATTTCCATATTTAATGACAGTTTGGAATGGGGGAATTAGAATTACTTGGGAGATAAACCGGTCTAGTGAGCGAGGTATCTATTTGTTGAATATGTTGAGAGGGAGATATCATTAGAAAACGGTTTTATGACAGTTTTAATAATCAAAAAAAAGGAAAGGAAAAAGAAAATAAAGTGCTGCAAAATACATAAACAGTTACACTTTAGTTCTAAATAACTGCCTACATATAGGAATTTTAGAGACTATTGATGTATTTGTTTATTTCAGTGACAGCTTCATGTCCATGTGCTACAAGAGGGCCCCTGTGAAATGGTAACGAAGTGTACATATGGGGAGGAGTGCCATGAGCTGTGCTTGCTTTTACAGCAGGGTGTTACACCAACTATTGTGTTAATATTTCTGAAGTATCTACCAAGGCTGTCCTATAAATCCCCTTCGTTTTTTCAGCAGCTAGTAAGGGCTTTTCAGCTTAGAGTCTATATGAGCTCAGATTTGTATGACCTTGGTCATGTAGTGAATGTAGTAAGAAAATATGGTGGTAGGACAAAGGAATGACTATTTGAAGGGTGGGGAAGGAAAGAAGAGGAGCAAATAGGTTCACTGTCAATCTGAGTTGTGACCAGAAGGAGCTTTGTTCTTAGCTCTGGGAGGATACTTGATAATCTTGTCATGTGAAGGCAACTGCTCTGTGTCTGATGACAGCAATGAGAGAACTGCCTAAAAAAAGAACGGATGAGTTGATCTTCCTGGCTGTGCTTTTTCTCTGAGGCGTAAGCCAACTCTTAAAAGTGTGTAAATTAACACAGGTATGTTGAGGGATGTATCTCTGGTTGCTACAGCTGTATTCCCTACATGCTTAGTTCTTCAGGCTTCATTCTTTTAATCTAGTGTTTGTTCTGAAAAGTGTTTTACTGTGGCTGTGTTATTTAATTTTATTTATTATAAAACAAGGAAAAGCGTCAACACCTTTTAAAAAGCAATCCTAACAACTAATGAACCAAAATGTTCATTCAGCTACAAAAAAGCTCTTTTCCAATCTAACACAGAGCCTCTTTTCCAATCTAACACAAGCTTTCTTAAAAAGCTTTAATGCAGGTTGTTGTATTCAGAAGAACATTTTTTTTCTAAGTTTATTCACTTATTGCTAGCCTCTTTTTCTTACAGACAGCACTCTTAAATCAGCTTGACTTCTTTATTTGCAGTTCAATGAGACTTCTAATCCATGAGATCCAATGGTCTACAGAGTCTTCAAGCTGACTTGTGAGTGGGTTATTCTTTAGAATACAGACCATTGCATGTCACGAGATCCAGATGCTGGCACCCAAGTTCAAGGAGAATATAGAATGGGTGGCAGAAGTAGTGGAATTAGGGCATTGTTTATTGCTCTTCATTTTTGCTGGTGTGATACTGTCATAAGCACACTTTAATGGAAGACTTCGACCAGGAATACAGGAATACCTATACATGGTACAAGTCTAATGTATTACGACTAGGAGGAATGTCTGAAGCAGAGCAAAATGTCTTTTCTCATTGGCTCTTTTGCCTGGATTGGTCACCTGGTATGAAAGATTCTAGTCTTTAACGCACTATATACTGAAGATCCTTGTGTAAGAAACAATGCTGTTATATATGTATGCTTTTATATATAGGAACATATCAGTGGTCAGATGGAGTTAATGAGCTTCTTCCTTTGCTGTCCGGAAACTGTAATGTAGTTTTAATGTCCTCTTCAAGATCTGTAAAGTCATTATAATTAAAATTGCTCTACATTAAAATGCAAGCCTAGCGAAGTATTTTGTTTTCATTAGTCATGGTAGTTTACGTAATGCTGTCTGTGTGTTTAAGGACTTCACAGTCATTAGCTCAGAACGTGCTTCTTCAGTTAGCCTTGTGTTTTAATTTTAGGAGCCAACACGGTTAAGGGAAAACTTACTACCTAACTTCTCCCTACCTTGTTTTATTTTTCCTGTTTGGAAAAAAAAAACAGAGAAAAATGAAGAAATAAACAATTGCTCCAAACATATTAAGATTTGCATGAGAAATAATAACTGTTTTCCTTCTGCGTTCATGTTTTTGCTCACAGAGGAGGAATTATTCAGTAATTTGTCTGTATTCAATGAAACGTGTGTGAAGTGGCAAAGGAAAACTGGAAGACTGGGAATGCAGGAAACGTACACAGTAAGTGCAGCAGTATTTGAGATTGGGAGTAGCTTTGGCCTGGTTAATTCTGGTGAGTCAGCAGTGGAGATCTGTTTTGTGGGTTTTGTTTGTATGGTAATTTGTTTCACTCTTCCCAGTGAACTGCCTAGAAACCTAAAGGTGGCTGGGTTGGGAAAGAAACAAATCCCTGTCCTAAAGTTAGGTGAAGAACTCAGAAGCAGTTGGGGTCCTATTCCAGTAAATCACCTAAGCATCTGCTTGAAACTGTAAGAAGCATTTCAGCACAAGTCTATGTTTTAGTGCAATTCTGTTGTAGAGCTCAAGGTCACATTGACATAGAAAACATTGCAAAACTTGGGCTCTGTCCTTATCTGTGATGCAAACATTTCAAGTAAATAGTGTATCAATTGCAGATACTGGATGTAACTTGTTTTAGAAATGCAAGGTATACTGAGATACTGTGCCTTGCTCGAGATTCAACCACCTTATATTTTAGAACTGTTTTTCATGGAAATTGAAAGCAACCTTGGTAACTACTTTTTTTTGGCCATCTATAAGCATAACAATAAAAGTTAAGATATAAATTCTCAGAAACAAGTAGTTCAGTCAGTGTTATTGAAAGCCAAAACAACGTGATAAGAGTTCCCATATTTTGAGAATGACAACATTCCAAGAAAGGTTGTTTTTTTGAGCATGTGCAAATAGGGAAAAAAGAAAGTGGAAAATACATTTCAAGGTTGGGTGATAATTTTGGAAAACAACCTGTCTTTCTCCTCCTGTGTTACAAAACCAATGTATTTTTAGTTTGAGGGCTTTTGTTAAGCACTGCTGAGATGGAAAAAACAAGTTCCCAGTTACCCTAACAGTTCAAATCCAGTGCTTTTTGTGTACTCAGTGGTAACTGGCAAGCTGTGGATCTCTGGTGTAATGTGCTCTGTGCATGTGCTTTTGTCTGAATTCAGCTATCTGCAAGACACTACAGAATAGTCAAAACTGAGGATGTTGTAGGCGTAGGGTGCATGCAATAAAGTTCAGAACACATTCTGGACTGCCTTAAGCTCAACTAGGTAAGTTTTGTCTGTCCCTTCCTCTCATACAAACAACAGGTTTCTTTTTCACTGCATTGGGATGATCTTAGGGAAGCTTGTCTCTTACTGTTGTTTGGCATTCAGTCTTACTACTGCCTCTGTAGGGCAGGGGGGGAAAACCAGAAAAACAAAAAGAAAGTAGCAAGCAGATGTAGTTTCCATCTGTGTGCTGTAAACAAAGAATATTTACTTACACCTTACTGTTTGTGTTGGAGATGTTTGTAGGGTCCACCTTATAGATTCCTTCTATTTGTTGTAGAAATATATGGAAAAATATCCATAATTTTAACAGCCAGAAGAAATTAAAGATCTAATGTATTAAGCCATGTTGTTGCACCAAAACAGTCACAAGCCTATTTTTTTGATTGAGCTGATATTCTAAAACAGATGTAATCCTAGGTTCTCAAGGCTTAATGGAACTAGTATTCTGAATTTTGGAGAGCCACAACCAATTGCACCATCGTTTTTGTTAATCCTTCAATAGTTTCACATACTGGGCCAAAGATGGGATGAGAAGACGTTCTCAGAAGATGCAGTATTTAACATCACTACAAGTGAAGATAATCCAAAGGTGTGTTTAGATCTCAACTCTGGCAGTAACTACGTGGTGAATATTACTACCATCTCTTCCACAAACATCACTGTCTCAGTTGCAGTAGCAGTTCAAACAAAGGGTAGGTTGTGTTTTGTATTCTGTGTGCTTATAGGAGAACTTACTGTGCTGCAGAGTTCACTGTTTTGAGTCTAGCAGACAGGATAACACCCTGTCTTCTGGGCTATCTCATTCTTTATGTTGACTACACACATGTAGCCACCATCAGCATCCTCTTTTTCTGCAAGACATTCTTCTCTCTGCTCACTGTGGTCATTGAACCTATGAGCTAACAGAGCAGTGGCAGTAAGTGCCCTTCAGAAAAGTTTGGCAAACTTGTTTCTTCAGGATTTGTCTTCTGGCTGAGGCAGGACTGGTGCACTGGAGTGCCTGGCTACATGCTGGAATTTCAGTCCACGGTACAGTGCTTACTGGTTTCCGTTCCTTGCCTTGAAAACTGATTGTCTGACTGTGGAAGAATTCCCTGTTGCTGAGCTGTGTGATGCTAATCTAAGTGATGCAAGCATTATAGATAATGTTCCTATGTTTAGCAGTGATGAGCAGTGTTCTGGCAGTTTTTCAGTAATTGTGGAGAAGGCGTGTTCTAACAGCGGGTTTCTGCAGTATTTTGGTCATGGAAACTTTAAGCTTGCTTTCTGACATACTAATTCTGATGAGACAGACATTCAGAAATAATTGCCTTTGGAGTCCACAAAAATGCTTTTTCTCACATGCTTTTTCCTAAAGGTTATCAACTGTGACAAATTGTTCTATGATAACTTGATTTCCATCAGAAGGTCTGAACCCCTAGATCTTTCTGTCACTACAAGCTCCCTAGGTCTGGATGAATAAATCCTATCTTGATTTCCTGAATAGCGTGCTTGGGTTTTTCCGAAAGCCATTTTCTTTGGAAAATGTTCGTGCTTTATTTACTGTGTTTGTTCATTCAAAAATAAATTAAATTCTACCTCCTTCTCAGAAGAGAATTAAAATAATAACCTTTTTTTTTAATTTTCAGCTACTCATATCCAATTAAGTTGAAGAAGGTGAAGTTTTTGTAATAAGTTGTTCCCTTTTTTTATTGTCTCTACAGTAAAGGAAGCTTTCAATAATGTATTAATTTTTAATGATACCTGCTTGAAATGGCGGAGAAATATCAGGGGAAGTGATGTGGAAGACAGATACTCCGTAAGTGACAACCTGTATTTTGAATCTAGAAAACAATTTATATCAATCACCAATCTGAAAAAACCTGTAATTTTTCAAACATTCAACTGCTAGCGGTGTTCCTCACTCTAATAATGTCTCTCATAAAAATCCAGGGAGTAATCTTGCATAGCAACTTTCAAAAAAGAAAGAAACCACCATGCCCTTTTGTAGTCTCCTGCTTCTTGCTTACTTTTTCCCCTGTTCTACTCTATTTTGCCTTCCCTATCTGTACTTTCAACTTTGTTATGTTCAGGCCTCAGACAACTCTGTTCCAAATCCACGGAGTCAGTCCACTCTGCCTTGTGGTATGTCTTCAGTCTTCCCCTGTCCCAGCAGGACATTTCTACGTGAACTATCTCTGCCAGGGCTCTTGACCACCTGCTGTTGTCTCAAATCTCCATGTGCTCAGAGATTATCTAAAGGCATAGGGTCTATTTAAAGGAAAATTAGCACATGATTAAAATACAGCAAGCATTTTTGTTTTCATTAACGGAGGAGTGATTAGGAACTCACACAAAATCCAACTGAAACAAAAAAAACCCATGGGTCTGTAAATTTGCCTAGAAACATAGCTGTCTGTAGGCTGGAGGGTACTTGGCATTTTGACGTAGGTCAAAATGGCTTAATTTTGACTTGCTTCTCAGGGTCAAACCAGAGAGGTGTTAAATTTGAGCTTACTTTTATAACTCATTACTTTGCACCATGAGGGTATACTGCGATGAAAGTGCACTATT